GAGCAGCCTGTCAATGTAAAATTCCTTGCAAAATTTGGAAAATCTGCTACAGAAACATACAATTAGTTGATGGAGGTTCATGGTGATGAATGTCTTATCTCGCACTGAAGTTTTTGAATGATTCAAAAGATTTAAGGGGAAGGGGAGAGATCGAAGACGATCTGCGTCCTGGTGGGCCTTGCACAACAGAAACAGATGCTAACATCGAAAAAGTTGGTGAAATTGTTGCCTGAACATTCGAGCAGTTGCTGAATTAGCTAACACTGATAAAGAAAGTGATATTACTTGAACATTTTAACATGCAAAACGTGCGCTTGAAGATGGTGCTGAGAATCCTCACTTCTAAGCAAAAGGAAACTCAAATGAACATTTGTGCTAACATCCTTCAAAACATTGAAAATGATCCAAACTTTTTAGGAAATGTAATAACTTGTGTTGAATCATGGTTTTTTCAGTATGATCTGGAAGCTAAGTGCCAATCCATGCATTGGAAGAGTCCCAGTCACCAATAAAAAAAAAGCATGGAAGAGCAAGTCAAATTTCAAAGCAATGTTGATTTTTTATTATCTGAGTGATTGTTCACATTGATTGTATGCCTGAAGGTCAGACCATTAACTAGGTCTACTATAAGGACTTTCTGACAATCCTTCATGAATGGGTGAGAAGAAAAACCTGAAATGTGGAATAAGGGCTCATTGATTCTTCACCATGACTTCGTGCCAGCACACAGTGCACTGTCAAGACATTTCTGGTGAAGCACAAGATCCCCGTGTTGGAACATCTGCCCTACTCACCTGATCTAGCCCTGCGTGACTTTTTTTATTTCCAAAGATCAAGTCTGCATTAAAAGGAACCCGTTTCGAGTCTGTAGATGCAGTGAAGGTAAAGGCGATGGAGGTAAAGAAGAAGCTATCAGAAAAGGACCTGCAGTATTGCTTCCAACAGTGGAAAATTCACATGGAGCTGTGTAGGGATTGGTGAGGGGAGAAATTTGAAGGTGATAACATTTCCATTGTGTGATTAGTTGAATAACAGATTTTAGAGCATCAGCCTGGTTATCTTATAGCTGCTCCATGTAGGTAGGGCTTCTTTTGGGCATGTATCTGTGGTGTAAATAGCCATGTCATCTGCAAATATTAACACTTTTGTCCAGAAACAGGCTTTTATTGGTGCTGCCATCTATGCAAGATATTCCCAACTATAGTCATCAGTTTTGATTTTATATCAGAGGCAAGTCTACCTTGACCTTGTATACTGTGGCACTTTGTCATTACAAGTTCCACTTGATCTTAGGGTCCAAGGGTTTAAGGATTTGTTAGCTCTTGTCCAAAATTTCAGTTGTGAGATATGAACTTCAGGCTTGTATGTATTGGACTAAGTGATTCCTAGAACTTCCTCCTGAAGAGATTTTAATGGTTGCACATTCTGCATTACCTTTCATATCACGAAAAAAAAATGTTTATACCCCTACTTAACATAAGCCAATGGTAAAAGTTTAAGTGTAGTCGATTTCAAAAACCTACCATAACCTTTTTAAGTTTTTGGCTGTAAAATTACTAGTGTGATGCCATGCAGTGTGGTAGATGTTTACCAACATGTAAGGAAAGCTTACTCTTGTGCCCTGAATAAAGAAGTAACACATTTCTCTGAAATGTTTGTGAACATTTACTAAAGTACACAGCATCACACCCAAGAAGAAGCAGTCTTCATACTCATTGTCATGAGAACAAAAAATCTTTCTTACCTCTTTTGGGAATTGCCTTCTTTTTCATTTCTTCACCTATGCCTTCACAATCTTCCAAGAAATTTCTGTATTGTTCTTATGGTGTTTGTATATGTAGCTGATAATTTAATATTAGCATACAGGAGAGAAAGTTGTGTTCCATTTTGTTCACCCGTCGCTGTTATATTTTCAAAAGTCATTAGAAAAGCTTTAAAGGCACTAAGACCAGGGCTAGAAATGGGGATAGATGCGGGTAGATGCCAACTACTTAGCTTCAGAGCAGCCATTTTTGAGGAAATTATTTCCAGTGGCTTAAGATGTAACCATTGTTCCCAGCGACAATACATCATCATCAGTAATCTGTCAAGACGACAGGTCCACAGTCTCTTCCAAAACAATTCCTCCACTTAATGCGATCTAGAGCTTTCTCCTTCAAATGACAGTATCCTCTTCTGTCCCCAAGGTCATCCAGCATCTTCTTACGTCTTCTTCCTCGTCTTCTTGTCACTTCTATCCGCCCATGTATCTTTCCTTCGATAGCTTCTTTTAGAAGGCAGTTTCTGCGTAAAACATGACCAATCCAATTAGCCTTCCGTTTTCTTATTTCATGTAGGATATTACTCTGCTCACTGACTCTAATTAACACTTCTTCATTTCTCACATAATCGGTCCAACTGATCTTCTCCATCCTTCTCCAACACCACATTTCGAAACTTTCCAGATGTTTCTCATTTACTGCCCTAAGTGTCCATGTTTCAGCCCCATACAGAGCTATGCTCCAAATGTAGCATTTCACTAGTTTCTTAGGAACAAATTTGTGAGCCTACAGTGTTTTTGTTTTAATATATGTTGGTCATTCTCCTAGGCTTTTCTATTGATCTGGTGTGTCAGCCTAGTTCTAAACAGGAGGATCTACCTAGTTCTGAAAAGCCAGTTCCACCCCTGGTTGTTAGTAGAGGGTATCCTTGTTTTACTTGTATACCATTTGTATGTCAGGAATATATCACAAATGTTTACCAGTGTAAACTTAGGTATGTCTTTGCAGTATGGTGACCAGTCATGTCTCTTACTCACATGGTGTTTTGATCATTGTCAGCAGATGTTTCTAACTGTGCTATTAGAAATGAAAAAAAAAAATATTTTGGCCTTAGGATGGATTAAATTTATTTCACATCTGTTAGCCATGACATCTCACAGCCCTAATGGCTGACCAGCCCCGGGATCAAACGCCGGCAACCACGATGGGAAGCCAGCGACTAACCGCTTGAAGTATGGTGCGGCGTAGATACTATCTCTCTAAGATCCATTTTAATATTGTCCACCCACCTTCGCCTAGGCCTACCCAGTGGTCTCTTTCCTTCTGGCTTTCCTACCAATATCCTATATGCATTCCTCCTCATATACGAATAAACCTGTACCTGATTCATGATTTTCATTCCCCTTTCCATAGAAAAATGTATATTCGCCTGCTGGTGTGATGCCACCTCCGTCCCATCTGACCTCATGTACTCCCGCTAAATCTAACTTATATTTTAAGATTTCTTCTGCCACTGCCCTGAACAAACTTGCCCTATACATACTTCTAACATTCCATGTACTGAATCTCATGTTCATGCATATTGAAGAACTACATGTATAAATGTAGTATATGGAAATTATTGTCTGGGTCTAATTTTGTTTTTGTTTGGTTACATAGAGTTGTAAGAGGTGATCATGGAAATATCTGAACATAAGAATGATGTAGTAGCCAAGGAATGAAAGATATTGCGTAATGAGGAACTTCATGATCTTTATGGGAACCCTAGCATTCTTAATGTAGTGAAATATAGGAAAGTATGATGGGCTTGGTATGTGGCTAGGGTGGGTAACCACAGGATGTATATTGAATTTTGGTGTGGAAGCCTGTTGTAAAATTTCCGGAGGACTGAGAAGGAACTGGAAGGATAACACCAAGATGGATTTTAGGGAGGTGGATTTTGAGGATCACAGGTGGATGGAAGGACTGGATTGTGTCCAGTGGTTGGCTTTGGTATTACTGGTGATGAATGTTAAGGTTCTCTGTTGTTATAAGTGGATCTTGCTTCTGGCAAGTTTTTTGGTTTAACCGTTTGATACCCTCACTTTTTTTAATCACAGGAACAAATTTACCTTTTTACCTCACCTTTATATGTCATATGTAATTGTTGGACATAAGGGTAAACACTGAGCAGGTTGACACAATGGTAACACACTAGACTTGCATTTGGGAGGTGCTTGGTTCATATTCCAGCTGGTACAATGGCTATTTGGAGTAAGATTTTTATGATGTATCTCAGTCTCTCCAGGGGAATTATGGATTAGACCATGTCTGCTCTCTTCCAAAGTCCTTTCCAGTTCATCGTTCATCTGTGCTGACATTTGATACTACATTTTATACCAAAATTAATGGCCGTGGGGGTTTGTTACACTGACCATGCGACATCCTCTATACTCTGAAGTTGGCACTAACTTCCCTGACAAGCGGCGGTCGCTCGGTCAGTATAGTTTGCTTGCGGACTAAAGCCACGGAGTTTTTTTGTGTGTGTGTTTATAGTCTAGCTACTGATGTATAAAATAACCCACAAGAAAAAAAAGTGAACGTTAATGACAGTTTATAACAGCTGCAGAATTTTGTAGCATCAAATTTTGAGACCAGTATGAATTGTGAATTAAGAATGGCATGGTGTGAGTGGTGACACACAGCTTTGAAGTACTGTCCCAGAATTTTCCTGGAGGAAATGATGGCAGTAATGGTTAACTTGGGTCAAGGTAGCTGGTTTCTAGACTGGTATTGAACCTAGAACTTCTCAGATGTGAAGTAGGAGCCATGATGTACAGTTCTTCAAATGAATAAATGTTTAAGTATATGTGCATATAGTTGAAAATTACTTTATTCATAAATTCTAAAAATGTATAAAATATTCCCAGGGATATGGGAACTTAGTTTAACCTTAATGCTATTTTATGAAACCCTGAGATGGAACTATTGTCTGCCAGTGTTTTAACACTTGTGTTGTTATGGCAGAAGTAAAACTTGTGTTTAGCATACCGTTCTTAAATGTAAGCAAAATGCAAGGTTACAACAGTAGACTACAGGACGAAATGCGTTCTTCTGAGGGTTTTAACATGCTTGGAGCCCAAACTTATGGTTCATAAAACTTTAATGAGTCATGATTCATGAATCAGTAATTTTTTTAATGATTTTGTCAATACCATGAAGATAACATAAAAATATTAGGAATGTATTTATTCTTTTTAGTTTTGTTTGGTTGTAGGCCTGTCTAGGTTGCCAATAATTTCCAATTAACAGGTTTATTAGAAGGTATTCGAGTTATGATTTCACTTGTTCACACCAAGATGATCATTAAAGGTTTATTGCATAACCGTTTATAGGATGGATTAATCGCACCATGGGTTACAGGCAATCTGTAAAGTGTTTGCCTTCTTAGTGACACCCTATCCTCGAGAAATACCCTAGCTCCTGTAGTTAGCCTTGAAGGTAAATGTTGGGTTGACTATGAGTTAATATTACATGAATGTTGGAAACAATTGTCCATCTCAGTGGAATACTTCATAAATCCCTCCCATCAATAATTCCAACTTTGTAGCCCCTAAAATTGTCAAGATCATAACCTAAATAATACCTGAATGGTTGAACTGATCGTTATCAATATTGATATGTATATTGTACCATCTGAGGCTGCCTTAGTGTTCTACAGTACAAATCACTCCTATCAGCTATACCAACACTGCAGCATCTCTCGCAAAGCCTCTCATGTCTTACAGTCATCCTCACCTTCCCGTGATGCACTCTGTTCTCGCTGACAAGGCTCTGGCAGCAATCTTACCACTTTGAATGATTTTAATATATTCAGGTTCTATAAAACCTGAGTTTATATTATTATTTTATTGACTTGCTTATGCATACATAATATAGTTATTATTCCCAGCTTGTTTCAGATACTCATTTTACAGTAAAAGGAAAGTAGGCAATTAGTTCTTCCCAGAACTTCTTCTTTTAATGGGCACTGAACACTTCTCACAAAATAGAAATCAGGTATAGTCAAGGGCATGAGGTCTGGTGATTTTGGTGGCAATTCAAGAAGACTTTGTTATCTGATCCAATTGTTATATGAGTTATGAGTACAGAGTTGAAATTATAGAGCTATAAAGTTCATCCACTGTTACTTGATTTATGGCCCACTCTGTACTCAAATTTCTACCAGTTTGACATTTTCAATGTGTAGTGTTATCCAGGAGTGCTGTATGAGCTGGACAGAATTCATGTAAAACACAATAATGCCTGTATGTGAATTGCAACTTGACTTGAATATTATATGTGACATATAATCCTTTTGCATTAAAGTTTTATGAAGAATAACATGTGAATGAACTCAGTCATATTGCTGATCTAAAGAATGTATTTTTTTTACCATAAATATCTCAACTCTATAATGAAGAGTAATAATTAAAAATTTGAATGTTATAAAATGTGAAAATGCTTTTGCACAATATTATTGCAGTAAACGCACAGTTATCCAATATCCATGCATCTGTAATTTTAACGTAACTGACAGAATTTTGAAAATGAAATTGCCGTGTTATTGAAAATTTATAATGTGCATATGTTTACCAATCATATGATTGTTCTTCCTGCCAGCGCTAGCAGTGCTACCCTTCATCCCATCTCATGCAAGTGCCATTACAGTAGAGGCTAGTTGAGTTTGTGATTGCATTGGAGTATATGTATCCAAAATCTTTATTCGTCAGTCTGCTGTCACCTAGGAAGACACTCTTACAAGAACTAAAACTGAAGATATGCTGTTTTGATCTTATACTGGGTTTCTATAAAAGCTTTTCTCACATAGCTGGTAGATTCATGTAACTGGGATCCCATTCCCCTTACATGCTCTGTAATGTGGAGTTTGCTGTATTTAATGTGAAGAATGTTGGAGATTATGTGATCGTTTACTCTTACAAAGTAAAGTAGCTAGAACAGCAACAACAATAATAATGAGTGCAAGTAGAACTCCCAATATTACCACTGCAATCTCAGCTTCAGAGAGCCCTTCATTATCTGAAACAGACCATATTCATAACATTTAAAGTTTTTATGCCTTTAAAAACCACTTTGCTTTCATATGTGTAAGGGCTGACTTAGATCACACTACAGAGTATTGGGAAGGAATATGGAATTGGGACAGATGGTTGGATTTTGAAGTTGTCAGTTGTTTTATGGGATGCATGTTTCTTTTATAAACTATCTTATTTCCAGTGCACAAAGGTATGCACAAAAAATGTTTGATGTTGATGATGATACAAGGATTATGAATGCAAAAATGATGAGTGAACTTAAAAACACAATAGGGATAAAGTTAAAGAGCTTGAATCTGGCTTCCTAGTAATATTCAGAGAACTTGAAAGCTGCTAGAGAAGTGTTTTTGTGTTTACAATTTGTTTTAATGTTTAGACTGCGAAATGGATGGACACTTTTTTCTAATTCCTGATTTTGTGCAGGAAAGGAGTGATAGAAGACTGTGTTGTGAGATTACTTCAGCATACGACTCTTCATTGAATAAAATGGTTATAGGTGTTTTTTTAATGCTTGTGTATTACCTTGAATAGCATACAGTAAGCATTCTGACATCCCAGTGTTCTTCTTTAAGCAACCAGTTTCAATTAAGTTTTGCAAAAAAAGAATCAGATCTGAAACTTATTGTGACTTGCTGCCTGAAAGCCGGACTATAAGACGTCCATCACTGGTCAATGGCTAGCAATTCCTATGCAGCATATTCAGCAAGAGACCAGTAGATTTCGTATCTCACGAGAGCTAAGGACAGATGAGCTCCAAATAGAGCAGAAGTTACTTCACCAAGATTAGCAGTTCAAGAGTGTTGTAACATTGAAGAGGAAACATCCGAAGTGTGAATAATTGTATTTTTGAGTGTAAAGAGTTATCGTCCAAATCCGAGACCCACATAAATTTTCTTGTCGCTTTGCATAGGAAACACGCGACAATATATATGGTGAAAGTATGTTGCTGTTATTGTAAAGTTAATTACATTAGAGAAAGCATTTGTTTGAAATATTTCTCAGTTTTATCCTTAGAAGGAAGTTGTACAAAGCAATATTTAAAGATCAGTATTATAATTATTCATGTATTAGTGAACTTTTACACTTTAACCTTCACTATTATCTAGTTTACAACTTGCCCATATACTAATACTAATATAAAAACACATACTGAGTTTACAGTCAGCGTTGATTTGTACAGTAAGGACATACCAGCATTGGCATCAATATGCTGGGTGACATAATTGCCCTTTGCATCTGCGGCTTTGATGTCAACAGTGGGAGCACAGCAGGATGCACTGTATGATATTGGAACAGCTGCTTTAGTGCCTGCGATAAAGCTGGTTAGGAATTCAATACCTCTTGGGTTAGATGTTACACTGATGAGTCCTGGAATTAAACCAAGCATGTGAAAGATCTTGTGACAAATTTTTACTGAAAAATATGCCAGTTTTTATAAATTATGCCAGGTATTGTATGATTCTTGGGGTATTTGACAATATTGTTTCAATGTACAGCTTATACAGTGAAGTAAATGAGAAGCTTGATCATGAGTGATTTGTTGGTAGGGATTTTAACTGATGAAATTGTAGCGTATTGCAAGCCCCTCTTCCAGCATTCACTAAGAATTGTGAGAAAGCACAAAAGTCTCATTCAAAGCAACCAGTAACATGGCCAGAATTAGAACTGGGTACCACTGAAATGCTCATTAAAGTCTAAATTATTCCAGTTACACTGATTTGCACTGTAGGAAGATGTTAAAAATGTAAGAGTCACCATCGTCATAATCACCTTCACCACAGCCACCACAACTGGATTGTAATGTTGACAGTGATATGAATTCTTTGATATGGTTCATATTCTGCAGTTAGAATGTGTGCACTTATTAACAGTAGAGGTATACCAATTTACTGGTATATTTTCTGTTTCTGGGTGCCCAGTGTTGGAAAATTATGAATACCTTTGAAACAAGACTGATTTTTTAGCCCCAGCATTTTTTTTGGGATCATTTAGAATTCCTTTTCCAAGGAAATAGATAGGTTTTTGGGAGAGGATTTTTTCAGATAACTGTGTTGTACCATGTATTCCAGAGTAACAGTAGCATGAAGAGAAACGTTCTCTGTGCAGGGCAGGTGTTTGTGAGATATAATATTAGACGTGAACATGACAAGTTATATTCAGTTTTTAATTATGCATAAATAGCAGATAGTGAATATTTTATCTGTAATGATGTGGAAGAGAAAATCCTCAGTCTGTGGTGTATATCCTGTAGCAAGATACTGTACCCTCAAAGATTAAAATTTCAGTTCTTATACAGAATGGAAAACGAGGAGGTTATGCACTCTGTGGTGCAGACTAATCAGTTTGGCTTTAAGCATGTCACTTGTTCAGTGAAAGGAGACATGGATCTGTAGACTTCACAACATTCCATTTTTTTGGTTTTTATGAGCAAGTTTCTTAGTTGAAATAAAAACGTTCAGATATGACACTGCAGACTGAATAAAGTATGCCTACCTGAACGACTGTCTTGGACAGTGGCCTCAATATTCCATGCAGAAGTTGAACATCTCTCTTGAGGCACATTCTTACAATTGTTCTTCACTGAATAGTTGATGGTTGGACGATCCGAATCAGAGACCTGTAAAATGATATATATAAAATTAAGCTTTCACAGCGGTGAAAATTTGAGTTGTCATTTTGATTTTGGCACCATGTGGCCTGGTAGGTGTTTCCTAGTGTGTCAGAGGAACTTGCTGCCAGAAAATGAATTTACAGTATATGTTTCTTGAAGTGATACATTGAATCTTTGAAATTAGTAATATAACATGGTGTATGGTTTTTAAACTATTTTATCCATGTAGTTCGTATAGAGAGACTATATTTTGTGTCTGCAGGAGTCACTGGCCTGTTCTTTCATCAGTTATTTAACTGCTGTTTCTACATTGCTATCAGTTTTGTAGTGGATTGCCAGATGTTTTCAGTGCTGAAGCAACATTTTGGATGATAATGATGGTATGGAAAAAGCAGTAAAATTAAGTTTTAAGAAACAGGGCACTAACTTCTATGAACAGGGAATAGGAAAAGTATGTTGTCACATTTTCTGTGTGCACTATATAAAAGAATCAATTATAAGTCATGTGATGCTGTCTTGGCCATATTAAATATTTTGTGAATTGCTGGAAGAAGTTGTGGCAGTTCAGCATTAGCAAAGTGAAAGTAACCTTTGTACTTACTTGTGGTACCCCTATAAACAAGTAAACAGCACGATTGACAGTTGGATATAATCTCCTATATGGACGAACCAAAAACTCAATTGTTGCAGTTGTACCCGGTTGTATATTCCTGTAGATCAGTCCTGTCACCATGACTTGTATGGATTTTCCTGGAGGTACAGCACCCCTAGATGCACAATGAATTAATGCTCTTATCTTATGAATTAAAGTACTTTGAAGAAAGAGAAGGCTTGCCTTTGGTTATTAAATGAAATGTAACATCTTTTATGGGTTGATTGATCCCTGAGAATACTGCAGTATCTGAAAAGGATTCATAGAATTTTTACGATTCTGAACAATCGTATTTCCTTGGCACTTCTTAATTTTCTGTTATCATCATTGCAGGCATAACAGTAATTTTAATGTGTGATGCAGAAGGGGGGGGGGAAAGTAAAGGTATCCCTGTAACAGGCCGTGAAGGCCCATAGGGTTGTCAGACGTTGAGGGCCCCACATTACCTTGACATTCGGCTCAAAGTTGGTGGTAAGGTTGTCAGCATTAATGCCAATCAGTATAGATAGGGTCTTAGACATTTGAGGAGGTAGTTGGTTTGGATAATTGGAAAGTAGCACCATGGGAGTTGTGCACACTGTTTCTGTATGATCACCACAAATCATGGTGAAATTCATTTACTTTTTGGTATACTATGACATATTTATTATTGATTATTTGTCACTGAGAAAATACTATTACTCTCTTGACAACAGTGTTGCAACACACGAAAGGATAATACAGACTCATGCATATATGAGAGATTGCAAGTTAAAGAGCATGGGTAGTGCACAGGCACATTTTGAAACAGGCCGTATTAATTCTGTTTTCCATCAGAGATAGCAAATATGCTCTTATGTAGAGAGACAGGAACACACATTATGTGTGAAGCATCTTTGAAGGTGCATCAGCATCAAATAGTGATGTTCTTTGTCATATTATCTTAGAAAGTTAAGTTATATTTTCACTATATTGTCATGTGTTAGTGACTAGATACAGGGTTTGGATTGATAATTGGATTTGTTTAATGCTTAAAACTGCAAATTATTATAACAGTGCAGCACATGCACAATCTTCTGTTTGTTATTCTGTCATTATTAGTTGCTGCTAACAATAGAGATTTCTCATGGCAGGTCATGAACTTCTGCTGCTCACTTGCAGATCATGACTGGTTCATCAGTTAGTTGGTTGGTTGGGTTAATTGCTGTTAGCCCTGCTAGTACAGTCATTCTTCGTTCCAAGTCCATGGGCCTCATGACTGGGAGTTATGCAACTCTCCAGTGAGAGTCAGATTTACTGACTGGCGGTTTACTGCCTGTCCATTTTGGCACCAGGCCCCATGAAGCTCATGAACAGAGTTTTCATTTTTGTAAACTGAACCATTGCAGTGATAGCCTTTATGTAATATCTTCTCTGATGAGAGGATGGGATTTTCTCTTATAAATAGGCTTTGCCTTTGTCAAGTGGGAAATCTTCTTCTTACCAAGAGGCATTCAGTTCAATAAAAATGAAAATTTGGAATGAAGAACCTCTCATGGAGTTTTGATGGGTCTCTGAGCAGAGCCACATCTATGTGTAATTCTTGCAGCTGTGTACTGAGTTCACAGCACAGCCTTCAAGTGCCATTTGCATTAAGCACTATGACTTTGAGTGGCTTACTCTCCACTTGTCCTTGTTCTGTAGCCTTTGCACAGACCACAACAGTAGAGGACTGTTCCCTCTGTTGTGTATCAGTTGCCATGGAAATATGTTTACTGTGCTTCTGCATGGCATTGACTGGTAAGTAGAGCAAAGGTATCTCTGTAACAGACCGTAAAGGCTGTAACCGTAACCGTAACTGTAACAGGCCAATAGGGTTTTGAGATGTTGAGGTTCCCACATATTCTAGACAATCGGCTCATAGATGGCAGTAAGGTTGTTAGCCTTATGTGGTCGTCGCCCTTTACTCCTAAGAATATTCCTGGTACTCATTTCTGTTAGAGGCTGAGTCGACCCCAGGGCCATAGTGGGGCTGGAAGGATTAGGTAAATTGAAAAAAATCCACCTGATTAGGATTTGATCCCATGACCTTCTGGGTTGTAGCATAGTGCCTCAACCAACTACATTACCGCTTGCACCTGGAATTGACTTGTAGCTCAAATTAATTATATTTCTGATATTACCTTCTGTTATCAAACTTACTGGTCGCAAGTAAAATTTGATACTCACATTACGGGCCTGATGAAGAGTTGTGGTGGGATATATGGGTAATCTTTGACTTGGTATGTGAAGGTCAAGAGTGCAAGTTCAGAATGATGATTGGTGACATTGAAAACCAAGTTCACTCTATCCCCAGGCTGAACTTCAAGGGTTGACTGGGCTAGCACATCCACAGTATAGGGAACTGCATAACTTTGTGGTTGGTGTTCAACTTCTACCAGACGTTCAACAACTTCACCTGTAACATACATCATTTAAACACTGGTTGCAGTCTCATGACTGAGCATTGTTATATAGTGGTTATTACTAGTGCTTCAAGTCTTAAATATACCATGTCTGAATCTCAGCCAGGAGACCAGCTTTCTTGACGAGCTTTTCATGGATATCTCCAGTCTCTCCAGGTGAATGTTTAGACAGATCTTTAAGCCTTTTTGTGCTATGAATGAGGAATTTCACTTGAAACATCTACCATATGCTCTGAGAAACTGCAGTATTTAGTTTCATGTGTGGAAATATATTCTCTGGACATCTCTTGCTGTACAGAGTGTTTGTCTTAATGTCAGTACAACTGGAGCTTATTCTAAGACAGGAGTGTCATGTAATGGAGATATGATTCTCAGTGGCTATGCAGCTATGGGCATGTGAAGTTCAAAAATTGTAAACACATAGCTAAACTGTTTCCATGAACAAATTCTTAGATTGTGCAGTTCAGGTTACAATAAATGTTCAAAGTGGCCACCTTCAATTTGCATACACATTCTGTCTTGTTTTCCTGTTGAATGTGTAACTTCACCATTTACATGCCTTGCAACATCTAATGTGTGACGAAGTAGTTCTAATTCGGTTTGATGTTCTCAGAGCAGACTATTAATAGTATCATCTACTACATGGCGTTACAACCCAGAAAATCATATTCTTTAAGCTAATTTATCTGTTGCACCTGCTTTATGTTCATACACATTCAGTAAGAATCTATTTTTCTTTCAGAATGTGAATCTGACATGAAGGTGGTTTCTTTGAACATCTGTTGTAAACTGAACTGCACAGTATGTGAATTTGTTTGTGAAAACAGGTTAGCTATATGCAAATCATGCTTTAACTTTGAATATCCATAGCTCCACAAATGTTGAGAATTAAAGTTATATGTATATACAGTGTGTCCAGGATCTGTTAGGACTCATTTTTTTTAAATTTTGCTCTGCAATGCCATCTGTTGGTGAATTGTGGCATTAAGATTCTTGAAGTTTCAGCTGTGGCTGTCTATAATTTCAAAGCGCAAGTATCGCTTAATCTTGTGTTCTGACCTTGAATGTAACAGTACTGTTCTGACGATCATTGGAAAATTTTGTTTGAAGTTACGCAAAACAGCCGGAGAAGCATATGAAACAATTAAAAGTGTGTACATTAGTGATTGTTTGAGTTCGACTTTCTTTGCCAGCTCTGAGGCAACCAGCTCTTTGCCCAATAGATTTAGATGTTGTCCATGCCTAGTAAAATGTTGTCTTTGTAGATCAATTTCCATTAGTTTCACATTTGAATTCAGTTTGCTTATTTTCTTGGCTTGCCTATTGAATTTCAGTACCTCTTTATTTACACAGGAAATAGTTGTAAGATCATATCTACACGGTGTGTGGATTAGAATGATATTTTTCCTTTTATGCTCTTCCATAAACCTCATTAAGCACTTAAGTGCCTCATTTGTATTATTTTTACTAATATCATTTGCCCTGTCCCACAAGATCAACATATCCTTATTATTTAATGAAGCAACTTCATCTATAGCCGTTGTCAGAATATCACTCATCAAGGCACCTAGTTTGGTAATTCCCATAATATCGTATCTATGATCCAAAATCATGCGAAGTTCAGCTGCACTTTTTTTCACGTGGCTATCGCCAGTTATCCATATTTTATGTTTGTATTTTCTCTGACTTTCTTCATATCTAATCTTCTCTTTTGTCAAGGTATGATTCATTATATTTCTTGCTTCTAATTCCTTCATTCTCATATTAGTCTGTTCTTCATCATCTTTGAGGTTATGTTTCGAATCAGGTTTATTCACGTTTGTGGGTATTATTTGTATTAAATTTCTATTAAAAACATCCAGATTTCTTTTCTTTTTGTCTATTACTAATTCCCAGTGTTCTTCCATTAATAAAGTTTTAACTTGTTCACAATAATTATTATTTTGTTCCAGCTTACTCGGATTATTTAGTGTCACGTTATCACTTAACTCGGCTTGAAGCACTTTTACAATTTCTTTATAAGATAATATTTCCTCCTTTGCTTTTTGTAGTTCACTGTTCAATTTCGTGCAATTTTGACAGTTTGTTTCTAGTTTATCATTTACAGTTTCAACATAATCAGAGCAGTTCACACTTCACATCTTGTTAGTCACCATGATGGCACAATATTCTTTTGAAAATGGGATCAACCATAGTAATGCAACAAATAAACTTCAAGTATTGTGAAATGTGAAGATTCTTGGTGATCTACATCTGTTTGTAGGATTGGAGATTCTCACAGCGATAGTTCATCGTAGACAAACAATGGAATAAAAGAAAGCTTTTTATCTTTTAGCTCTGAAGCCCCTGCAGTCTCCTGCCCAAGGAATACCAAGGGTACTGTGACCAGAGCAGGAAACTGAGCATTCCATTTTGATTAATATTGATGTCTACAATGCATGAAGCCTTGCCTCCCCCCCTCTGTATATGCCAAATTGTGGCATCTTTAGCTACATAAATTGTAGGTGTCACTTAAAAGAATATTTTAGAGCTAGAAATTGTTCAGCATCAGTGGCTTAGCTGAATGCCAAACAGTTCCTCTCTGGCTGTACTTTTTTTGTGATATGTATGCCTACATTATATATAGAACACTGGGAAAAATAAGGAAACAGTACTTCAGTCCAACTGTGGATTGCCCGCTGCTGTTGTGGACTGCCTCTTGTCCAAGAATACTTACCATCACGTGTACTTGCAGTCAGCATCAGGTATAACGGCTCACTAGATAGCTTGTTTTCTGGTATGTTGAATGCAGGAAGGAGGTCAGCTCCTGGATTATACTGTAAGTGGCCCAGTTTATTGCCTTCTTTATTCACCAGGCTCACATTTTGGATAGTTGCAATGTTCTCAGGGACACTTAGTTGAAACTGTATATTAGGATTGACAGAGCCTGAAAATGACAGCAAATGTGACAATTTTATATATATAATTACCATTGCTATTCTCTTGGACAGTGGCCAGGTTGAAGCTGTATAGTAGGATTGATAGGTCCGGAAAACTGCAGTGGCCATAAGAATTTTATGCATAAGATTGGTGTGATTTTATATCAGTAATTTTGTATTTTAGAATCGTGTTGCAACTCTTTAAGTAATCGTCTGTGTGAATAAACAGTTGATGCATTATTGACGGACTGTGGATACATAGACATTTATATCAGCGTTACATGAGACATTGTCCATTTTTGGAAGTACAATAAACCCCTCTCATAATGGACCCAGATATAACGAACAGAACCTGCCTGTGTGCAGTTGCGCATTTTTAGACATTGAGGCACTAAGAAGATTTTGTAGTTAGAAAACTATTTAAAATTGAAAAGAACCTCAATATATAAACCTTTATGTATTCAAGTTGTGTTTTCTGTGAGACGTTGAGGGTCCCACATTATCTAGACAGTCTGCTGAAAGATGGCGGTAAGATTGACAGCCTTACATGCCGGCCGCACTTTACTCTCCAGGAGAATTATTTAANAACCCCCCCCCCCCAGTTTCCCCATGTGAATGAATGAATTTCGATGAAAAAAAAAAAATGTTTCTGAAAGCCCCACATTGAATGCAATCCTGTAAGCAGCATTTGCGAGGTGCACCCTTGCCCCCCTCCCCTACCCCGAACTAGTGCCATCAAGATGGGGAGCCTGGATAGAAACAGTCAATTTCTACAGTGAACAATTTGAAACTGTGAAATCAGTTGTAGCTAAGTTCCCACCTGAGTCTGCTGTTTCGTTGCGTGTATCCCAGTTGGCACTCAGGGATCCAAAAGGGGCCTACTTAATTGCCTACTTACAAAGCAATTTCGGCTGGCTTCTGGAAGGTATGAAACGTTTAGAATCTCAGGGACTTCCTCTGCAAGAATCTATGGATCTAATGAGAAATACAAGTGGAAAGGGGAGGTTGGTGAACGTGTCCACCCAGTTACAGGCGGTGTTACAAAGAAACCCTGTATTTTCGACATTTACCAATGTCTGTCGGGTACTTAATTGAGATGATGTAATGATCCTGTTTCACAAGAATTCATTTTTGCTGCAAGGAGGCAAATTGATTTGATTAAACTTGTAATTTTTGTAGTTGCCCGTTGTGTGTGTGTGTGTGTGTGGGGGGGGGGGGTTTGGGATTCTGTAAGCCATTTGGGATTAACTTGGATTAGGGTCACCGAGGTTCCACTGTTTTACATTTTTTCTTGAATTAATAGCAATATTGTCGGTTGAGAGCAAGAATATTTATTCAACAAATTGTGTATTTTATTGTAATTTTGTTTTGGTCCGTGATGGGGCTCCTAAGCTTTTTAAATTATCCCTCGCAGAGTAAAGATTGTTCATATAGCTTTTTAAGAATTTAGGAGTTGGAATATATTGTTAGTAAACTGTGAAATAGGACTGGAATTTTTCATATTTATTAATTAAAGGGGAGATCGATCAGTAATTGAGAATTACAGACCGATCAGTTTAACGTCAGTGGTTTGCAAACAAATGGAGCATGTTATAGCAGGGTATCTAAGACAAATTTTGGAAAAGAGTGAATGGCTGTACGAGGGCCAACATGGCTTTAGACCAGGGTACTCGTGTGAAGGTCAGTTAGTCAGTCTCTCAGGATATTGCTGATTCCCTGGACGAGGGCGTCAGGACAGACGCGATAATAATAGATTTTTCAAAGACTTTCGATTTGGTCCCACATGATAGGTTACTTACAAAAATAGCTGAAACCGGAGTTGACTTCAGGGTAGTTGTGTGGCTACAGGAATTTCTTTTAGGACGCTCACAGAGTCAGAGTAGACGGGCACCTATCTGAAGAAGTCAAGAGTGCGTCGGGAGTGCCGCAAGGGAGCGTTTTAGGACCGCTACTATTCCTGGTTTATGTCAGCGATATTTGGAGGGACAGTGACTTAAATATGCGCTTATTGGCAGATGATTGCCCTACCCGAGTAGGGAAGGTCATAGTTGGTAAGTTAGGAGTAGGAAACAAAGAACAGATGTTGGCAAATGTTCCTTTGTAAATAGGACCGTAAAAGATTGGAACAGTGTACCTGCAGGCATACTAGCGTTTTCCCCCTGTAAATTAAACACTTTTAAGGCCCGTCCACATTACTCGTGCTCATGCTCGTGTGACTCGCTATGCTCGCGAGTAATGTGGACGATATGACAAGTCACGAGACAAGCAAATTTTAAATTTTTAATTTAAAAACTCTAGCCAATAAATTAAAATACGACTACAGCGTATACACACTACGAGTAAATATACGGATCCTCACGCGCCGAAGCCTGGCGAGCAACTGAAGTAGTGTGGACGAAGATTTACGGGCACAAGTAAAAGCCAGACGAGTCTCCCGACTAGCACGAGCACGAGTAATGTAGACTCGCCTTTAGAAAGAGGGTTAGGAAAGCTGTTAGAAGTAAAGAGGCCTTAGGCGGAGTCTATATGACAAATGAAGTAATGTGAAGTGTCCTTGTTCGAGTGCAGTGAAATGATCACAAGCACGTGCCATTTTATGACTTCATATATTTAGATTTGCACTATGTGTACCTTGCTTACTGTATGTACTTTGTTTTGTATTGTTCCCTTTACGTTATAGTCTTTCCTTGTCTGTATCAGTGTAAGATCAACTGCCACTGGGTGAATACCCAATTGCAGTAAAATAATAATAATAATAATAATAATAATAATACAACTATTTCCATTGATTGACGCATGAATTGTGTTTGTGTCGATGTCTGGACCCGTGATGGCCACGTCAGTGTTGCGTTTCTCGTGACTAAAGGAGACCGAAGTCCTCTCCTTGAAATCACGGCCCCTTATAACTTTCGTACGAGTAATCTCACTGTTTATATCGCGCTAACAAAGTGTAGTGTGATCTTGGTGCTGACATTCGTGTTCTCCTTGATTGGTGAGTTACAGTTTCACGCTGACTATAGTTGTCAGATTGATGGATTTATCCCATCAGACTCAAGTTTAAAGTTTTTTTTTTTCTGGGGGTGGATCCGTTTTTCAGAACGATACAGGTAAGCCTATAGAGAAAACATAAAAACGGCAACTTTTTTATTCTTCATCTTCTCTTCCTTCTCGTGTTTCCTTTTTCTCTTTAATTTTATCTTAGGGTTTTCTTTCGTTCCTTTCCAGTTTTTATGTGCCCTGCGTGCGCGATTATGCAGTCGATGTCAGACGGTCTTAACTAAACTGATATCTTCTTTACAACAATTTACTCGTATTTCTTAGTTCATGTAATATCGCTTTCTCAGCTATCGATTGTACGACCCCCAAAGGAAGACGATTTGCAAATGAATTGAGAAGAATGTGAAAGGGTTGTGGACTATTTTAAAGTGTTTTCCGGGGTGGGGAGGAGGAAAGTCACGAATAGACTTCGGGTAGGTGGCCTCCGCGCCGAAAATCGAAACCGATTGCTCTCGAATACAAGACATAGTGCTGTCAACTCAGTCATGGCGTCCGGTGACGATGTAGACCTCTCAATAAACAGCTCGCATTTAAAACAGAAACTTAACTTAGAAAACTTAGGAGTAAACTTTTTAAACATAGGCTACATACTCGCATTCTAGTGGTTAACAAGTCTGTTTCATATGCGGGATGTCCCTGGTTTGATTCTCGGGCCGGCTAGATTAAAGGAATATTTAGCAGTGGTACATAACTGAAATGAGGAGGGGAGGTTAGGCTAAAGCTATACTAGTACAATATGAATTCAGCCGAGTTTGTGTTTTCGAAGTGAAACACGGTATATGAAACGTATGGCAAAATAAATGGAAGAACACTGTCTTCTAAGATGTAGTTCGGTGTAAGTCCAGCGACCTGTCGGAGGAACAAAATGCCTCCATCTTCAGGGTGGAAGAGTACGCCAAGCAAGAAATTGTGCTTCAGCCTACTTACTCAGCTCACGTTCGGCTTACTCTTCGACCCTGAATGTGGAGGAAATATGTTACTTCGAAATGTTGGTGGACACACCCGACCACACTGCGTTATCTACTAGAATATAGTAGTACTGTTCCTAGCCACCACCGCTAGAACCTCAAATCCAAATCGACTTGGAACAGCTTCAAGAGACGAACCGCAGGCAGAAGAAACAAGAAAGCAAGACTTTAAATTACAAATTACAAATTACGATGCATCGGTTATACGTGTACAAGAACCATACATACGCTATCAGAGGAATTGAAGGTGTGTGAAGACCTCTCAGTAGATGGACATACGTATTTAACTTCTGAAAATCGGAACTGATTAAAAACAAATTCATTGTAGACCACCTCTGTGGTCTAGTGGTCAGAGTTTCTGGCTACAGATCCAGAGGTCCCAGTTCGGTTCCCGGCGCCACCAGATTTTCTCAGAAGTAGTGGGTCTGGAACGGAGTCCAATCAGCCTCATGAGGATAATTGAGGAGCTAATTAAAGGAAATAGCGGCTCCGGTCTAGCAAACCGAAATTAACCGCCATGGGGATTCGTTGCTGTGACTACGTGAAACCTCTATCCACTAAGGTTGGCACTAACTTTGCCGATAAGCGGCGGTCGCTCGGTCGGTATAGTTCGCTTGCGGACTGAAACCACGGAGTTTGTTTTGTTTTTGTGGAGGAAGAAGAAACTCTGTTATAGTGTAATTAAATGGAGTAAACTATATACATTGATAGGTACTGGGATGCATGCCCCATTGCATTTAAGCGGAAGATAAAATCTTAAACCTTCGCTTTAGATATTTACTTGTGGCTTCTATGAACTGATGTGAATTAGAAATGTCTCATGCATCCTACAAATTTGGCTTAATATTAACCAGATGATCATGACTTCTGAATTACATTATCTCCAATTTATAAGGCCTTGTGTATTATTGGATGTGTTTTTCCACAGTATTTGGCTAAATATAGGTCGAACAAGGCTGAAGAAGTACACAATCTGTACCTAATTACATGCTAACATTCGTGCTTAAGTATTTAGTGCAGTAAGCTCCAATATTTTAAGCCTTCAGGTAAGCACAAAACATTTATGTTGTAGTGTAAAAGGCGTTTTCAGGCGTGAGGAACCTCCGTTTAAATACTGAGACGTCGAGAATAATAGCCTTCTGTAACCTTTCCGTGTTCTGAAAACCACGGCTGTTTATTAAATATGTTATATAGCTCCAAGTCGCTCGGTCGGTATAGCTCGCTTGCGGACTACAGGCCACGGAGTTTTTTATTTGTTTTTGCTTTCCGTTAAATATGAACCATACCAAGAAACTCTTCAAATAAGTATCATAGATTTTAAAGAGATAGCGTATATTTTAGGTCACGTACCAACGTTTCGTATGACAGCTTTTTTAATGGCAAGAGTTTTTTATATTGTTGGATGCGTTGGATACAACGCCCTGTAGTCCGTTGAAAGTCAGTCAACGTTTCGGAGGGACACGTTGCCTCCATCTTCAGGATCGAGGAATAAGCCAAGAAGGAAACCGGAATGAGGTAGGAAGTAAGCAGAACTCTGCCGAGGTTCGATTCACTGCAGAAAGAAGAGATTTTTTCTTTACAGCGTCCAGATCGGTTCTGAAGCCCACTCATCCTCCTGTCCAATGGGTGGGGGGGGGTTATTCCGCGAGGATAAAGCGGCCGGGACGTGAAGCAGACCACACACTTCCATCTTGTGCCGAGTTCAAGAATGGTGAGCTTTCCGTGTATTCCTGCTTACGTCTTCATGGCGTGGTGCTTAATTAATTAAGCATAGGGACAACTTTACCTTTTACACGGCGTTATATCCCAGAAAATAGAACTGGTTGTAATCACCGCCGTGAGAACCTCGTGTGCTGTTTAATGACCTATCAAGTATTTCGATTTGAGCTTCACGTTATGTTGGATTGATAACAGACGGGGCCTTGTATCTTCTAGAATGTACTCCAAATTTCATATTTCGTAAAAATGAGAGAAAAGTGGAAATAGGAACGAAGAAGTTGGAGAAACAGGAAATAAATACACAAATAAGTAAATAAATAGATAAATAAATAAGTAAATAGATAAATAAATAAAAAGTTTTCAACCATCACAAATTATGCCTACTCTATCCATAGAGGCCTCTACTTTCTGGAGTAATGTCAGACTTTACCTTCATCTTCTGAGCCATTAGTGTGCGCCGACGGAACTACAGTTGTACTGGCATTGAAGTGGAGGCTGCTGGTTCCCTGCACGATCACGTTGTAGTGAGTTTGCGCGTCTGCGCCTGCCGTTTTGAGCATCCATCTTCCTGGCTCCCCGACGCCAGTATCGAGCCGTATGCTAAGAATGTTGTCGTCTCGTACTAGCACCTTGTATCTTGAACTGGCGTTTTGTGTGAGATCCATGGCATTGCCTGTGAAACAAGTAGTGGACAATTGTCATATCCTTTAGGCGTGGTTGTCAAGTTATGTTTCGAGTGAATAAAACAAGTCTGCTTCATGTTAGCATTTGGTAAGTCTTTTCTTGCATATGGTAGCGAACACTGGCGTTAACCATGTTTGAACACAGATTTTTCCGTTCTCTGTGGTGTGGTTTTAAGCAAAAATCGGAAAGTAACAGATCACTTGGGAGAACTAGGCATAGATTGGAGCTTGATATTAAAACGAACTCTTGTGGGACAAGGATTCAGTTGGACGATGATGGGGTTAGCTTTTATCAGCACGGCATTGAATTTCGAGTTTTATAAAAGCGTTGACAAATGAACAACTGTAAACTTTTCCACGATAGTTTCCATGGAGTTAATGTTTTTACTTTTTGCTATTTTTCTCTTTACCGTTCTCTTCAACCATTATTGTGGCGACTATTTGATACTGATTTGGTGAGAGCAGCTTTTTACTACTCTCCCCTCATTATAGTAAAGATCTATCCTTTGAAATGTTTCAGTTAGTTTTGTAGGACCTAATGTTGCATTCCACGAGTGTTTCTGTTGTTGATCTCTAAAAGTGAAATAATTTCATGGGTATTGTCAACACGAACTTCAGCGGATAGAGGGTGTCGCGTGGTCAGCGCATCGAATCCCCACGGCCGTTAATTTCGGTTTTTATTGGCACTAATTTCTCCGACAAGCGGCGGTCGCTCGGTTGGTATAGTTCGCTTGCGAACTGAAACCACGGAGTTTTTTTATACTGTCAACGCGTGCAGTCGCTGTTTGTTTAAAATTAAGTTGGTATACCTGATTAATCCTTTGTCATTATTTCACGATTTATTATCGATTTAGAATTGTTTTCATAAAAAAATCTTGTCTTTTAAAATCATCGTATAAACCACTCTTTCGCATGAAAGGGTGATTGACAATATATTATAGAAACAAAGCTAGTCTTTAAAGCCAGTAGTAGTCGGTTCAAGCCGTGATTACAGTTCTGGTTAACCTAACAGACTGGTGTTCCGGTAACACTTCAGACTACTGTTCTGGAGGTGCAGTGGCCTGATCTCGACCAGGTTAACTTAGGCTTTTGGTGGCTGTTCTCTGTATGTCCACGTGAACACCTCGATTGCGCCTTGTAATGCAGTGCTATTATAAACGATTGAGTTGATAAGAAATCGGTGTCACAAACATGACACAACTTGAAAACAGCATGGAAACTCAGAAGGTTTATATGCAGATGTTCGGTATTTGCTTCATTAGTTGCTCCGCAAACGTCAACACGATATCAATTCTTCCCATGTACGCCATCGCCGCGACTGCTGACTGTCAGACTTTAGCCATGTCCTGTGAAATTCTCTCTCGAAGGGACTGTGGCATCGGAGGTTGGTATACTTTGTCCTCCTCATATCCTTATGGGCAGAAGTCGCAAGGAGTAAGGTCCAGTGATCTAGCGGACCAAGGAATGGGTTCTGCTCGTCCTGCTTAAGCCTTTTGCAATTCAGGCTGAAGGATTGTGATGAGGTTGTCAGCCTTACGCGTCGGCCGCCATTTACCCACAGGAAGATTCCTGGTACTCATATCTAAATAACACATTAACATTAAAAGTTTTTCCCCCCTGAAATATGACGGTATAATCAAATGTAAAGAAATGTGAGAAATTTAGAGGAAACAACAGCTTAAGGAAGAAATAGCACGGGCCGATGAAATAACAAAGTAGGACTGAACAGATTCTTACTGCCGTTGCCATACTTTGTGAGCTCTCGGGCGCTGGCGTTTTGTTTGTGGGTCGTACTAGGCGTTCAGGTCTCATTATCAGTCAGTTTTCGCCGAAGGTTCTTCAGTCTTGCTCAGAGGTTTGATATTTTTTTTTAAATATTTTTGGCAGACACCATGTCAACTGCGGCCACAGAACAAGCTGAATTTGGCACAGGCTGTTGGATCATTAGGTGACGGAGCACAGTGCGCTACTCTGCAAGTTGTCTCAAGGAACGACCCATCCCACTTTTGTTTGGAAGTTGCCTGGTTTGAATGCAGACCTGCATGTCGACAGTCTTCAGTGAGGTTGAAGAATGTCGTCTTCTGGGATGTGGCGCCGTATAGATCTTGTGTGAACCTACGTTTCGGAGGTACGTATCTCCTCCATCTTCAGGGTAGAAAAATCCGCGAGCGAGGAACCAGCAGTCTGCAGCCACTTGCTCACTCTGGTTCCTTGCTCGCGGATTTTTCTACCCTGAAGATGGAGGCGATACGTTCCTCCGAAACGTCCGTTCACACAAGATCTACACGGCGCCACATCCCAGAAGACGGCATTTTTCATAGTGGCCGCTTTGGAAAACCTGAAATCTTGATTGAGATTTTTCTAACGCAGTCTCTCTGCCGGTGTAGTAAGTCACATTATGCCACAACCTCTTCCTTCCACGCTCTTTCCAATGCTTTATTTACTAATCATATCATTCGATTCAGGCCAATAGCTCTCAGTAACTATTGACTTTATTGCTAAGTAAATCATAATTAAATGAAATATCAATTGACTAGTGTTGCCATTTGGCGTACAAAACCAGTTTCCAGGCGACGTGTTACAAAACATTATGCACATGAAAATCATAACGAAATTTCAAGAATAATATGAGTATATTATACATACATATGGTATACTCGTATATGCAACTATACTGCAACTACATAGCAATTCATGATTTGTCGCGCTGTGAGGTATTGAACTAATTTTAATATGAAAAAATAGGCCCTACGAAACACTGACATAAGACATAATTATGTTCTTGTCGGTCCGTATTGAGAATAAGTGGATAGTCTGTGGATATGGCCCGGTCTCTGACAAGAAAGTAATCTTTATTACGACTGCTTGCTGTGACGTAATTCTAAGAAATTTATGGGTGACGCAAAACTCGAATGCTTTTCTACGTGCGTTAATAGCTGATGGGCCCTGGCAGCAGTAAGTTACATTAATGCGTGATGTGGCATCACTCCAACAGACCTGCAGCATGACAGTTCAGTTTGGAAGACTAATAAATGATACAAACTCCGTCCTAAGTGCAAACAATATACATTTATATGTCTTTGATCTTGTTCTTTCTACACTACATGATGATGGCCGATAGAGGCCGAAACATGTAGTGTAGAAAGAACAAGATCAAAGACATATAAATGTATATTGTTTGCACTTAGGACGGAGTTTGTATCATTTATCGTGTAGAGTGCAACAGGATGCTTAAATATAATATTGGAAGACTAACCAAAAATTACCCTCATACCCAAAGCAGGAGCCATAAGTAGGAAGCCCACAAGTGCACCATTGTCACATATTCCAAATGTTGTGCGTTTCGCCTTATTTGCCTTGAGAAATCGTCTCGTAAAACAGTAGTGGGAAAATGTATTCCAGTTGTACGAGTATGTTCTTTACGAATTTGCAAGTAGGGTAGTTATAAAAAATTTTAGCTCACATTCCTCTTTTTTAAATATAAAATTAAAGTAGGCTTATGAGATCACTTTGCTGTCTGTGTGCCTATGGGTATCCCACTAACAACCACGAACCCTGGAACTGAATAATAATAATAATAATAATGTAGTATGTATAGGAGAGTTAAATGCATGCAAAGTTTTATTTTGAAAATTTAAAGAAAAAGGGCAGTATGGGAGACGGAACGTAGAGGAGGAAAAAATTGTTGTCGCATTTGCTAGGTAACGCGACAAGAAATTTGTGCGGGTTCTCGGATTTGGCGAAAACGTATTGGACACTCACTCTTTACACTTGCAAATACAATTATTCACACTTATAACGTCTTCGGACGTTTCTTCTTCAATGTTACAACACTCTTTCACCGCTAATCTCGGTGAAGTGTCTTCTGCTGTGCTCGGAGCCCAACTTCCCTTAGCTCTCGTCGGATACGAACTAACTTCTGCTCTAGCCGGATACGAACTCTTGTATCCTGCCGCACTCGAACTGAATAAGGAATACCTTGTCGAAGGATTAATTTCGCCCGCTACTATGCAACGAACGCAGGAATACGTGTCTGCCTCAAACAGTTCGTTTGTAACGGTGGAAACCCCACCGTTAGACTTTCATTTCCGGGGCAACGATTTTCTAGGCTTCACTGCCTAGGAATTGCTAGCCGTTGACTAGTGATGGACGTCTTATAGTCCGGCTTTCAGGCAGCACGTCACATTATTAAAATATGTCATAGCGATTTAGAATTCGAGAATGAGAATTTAATTTCTTTGCCTCAGAATAGGGACCAGAGACCACGGTAATGAGTTCTCTTGTTCCATGGAACGCAGAGAATTTCTTCAGTACCTGAACGACTGTTAACTTGCCGAGAGAATCTGCTCCATGGAGTTGATTAGTTAAAGGGTCTTAAATGTGCAACTTTTTTCTTGCAGGGGGTGGCCGCTGTAATGGGGATTTAAATTTTTTTATGGCATGGACTCGTTGGCCGTGGAACCAGCAGTTTGGAGTTTGATGTGGGGATAGTTCCGAAATCTTGTGTACATATTATAGTATTGTATCGTAGCATCCTGTTGTACATCGCTTGTTTATTCTTGTTACTTATTAGCCGTCTGACATTCAATTTGCTTTTTAAAACCTCTTATACATCACTGGTGTATGCACAATACATGTTTCGACCAACACTGATCACCAATACTGATGTCTCTAAAATTACTGATGAAACTGATGTGCTTCCGTCTGTAAGTTCAGTTTTTGGGGTATGCCCTCGTCTGTGCGCCCATGTGTCCTGTGGTGATGGATTGTTCCTCATACTGTGTCGTATGTTGCTGTTATAACTGTTAGCTATACGCCACACAATAAGAAGAACTGTCCATCACCATAGTACATGTGGGCGCACAGACGAGGGCACATTCCAAAAATTGAACTTACGGGCAGAAACAGCAGTTTCGTTCGCAATTTAGAGACATCAGTATTGGTGATCAGTGTTTGTCGATACATGTAATATGCACGCACCAGTGATGTAGAAGATATTTTAAAGTTTAAAACTCTTAAATGTTTTAAAAAGCAAGTTGCATGCGAAACGGCTAATGACTAACCGGAACAAACAGCGTACATACGTGTATATTGTATGAAATATTTCTATGTGTTCTCTCTCTCTTCCTACCTCTCCCTCTCTCATGGGATGAGACTGAGCCCAGTTAGTACGTCGGCCACCAACTGGCCTATTTTACCAGCCCCAGGTGACGATAATGATTGTGCAACAATTGGTGGAATGCGAATTGGCAGGGGAAACCGAAGTTCTCAGAAAACCTGTCTTAGTGCCACTTTGTCCACCACAAATCCCACATGGGACCTGATCTGAAGTCGAACCCGGGCCACAGCGGTGGGAAGCCGGCGACTAACCGCCTGAGGTATGGCATGGCCCTCTTGTCTGTTACAAGATGTAAATATAGCGATGGTGTGAAATTCTTAAGTTATTCGACAACTGTCATATAGAGGAAATCCATGCTAGTGGACATAACATGCAGTTTCTGAGGTGCGAAATGCTTACCAAAAGGATCTTGAAGATGCGCGCTGTTGACAGGTCCTTCGATGGTCACGAGCAGAGACGTCACTGTCTTGTCGACTTGGATAGGCAGCCGTACATGACCCGTCAAGCCCAACCTCATTGCCAGGGTAACCTGCACACATGACAATGTTTATCACAGCTTGGGAATCATTATGCGTGGCCCGACAATAAAGTTCACGAACTCGCCACCGTGTATTTGTCGCACCGGTGGACAGAAACCTCAGTATGGTTTGATGACGTTGGCATATTAGCGTTTCACAGCTGTGTTGTTGTTGATCTATGGCAGTCCCTTTCTGAGTGTGTTTTGGTGTGCCGTCGCCGGAATGTCGGAGCTTCTTGTGGTCTGGTGGATTAGGAAGCCTAAAATGCACTATATAAACGGCAAGTTGTATTTAGGAAAACTAAACTAACTCTGGAAATAAACCCCGAAGGTTTGGAACCGATAATAATCAAAAGCCTGCCATCGGATAGATTACGAGCCAGTTTGGTTCATTCTCCATACTCACAGCCTGCTTAACTAAGAAACATGTTACCCCTCCATTCTCCGTTTTGTAAGTTATGTTTTTTGGAATTTTTCACATAAAATTCCGTGAACCATATGCATTCCTTGTCTTCCATATGTAGCTATATATGTACGGCCCATTTTGTTACCCTAAGCATACCAGGTGACCTGAAGAACCTCTTGTGTATAATCCTTAATAGGTTGCTTTATACTTAGTGTATGTTTTTTAACGCTTATTCTTAAACATATCGTATGGCTTATCCTCCGACCGCCTTTGTGGTCTAGTGGCCAGAGTTAGTGGCTACAGATCGAGAGGTCCGGGTTCGATTCCTGGCGCTACCAGATTTTCTAGAGGATAATTTTCGTGGGGATAACTGAGGAGCTATTTCAAGGAAATAGCGGCTCCGGTCTAGAAACCCTAAATTAATGGCCTTGGGGATTCGTTGCGCTTACCACGCGACACCCTCTATCCGCTAAAGTTGTCAGTAACTTCGCCGATAAGTGGCGGTCGCTCGGTCGGTATAGTTCGCTTGCGGACTAAAAGCAAGGATTTTTTTTTTTTGGCTTTTCCTCCAGGAGATAGGGGTTTGCTTATTGGTGTATTATTAAAACGCGATGCCATACCTCAGTAACTTCTTCCATCTCCGTGAACGGTGTTGTGTCGGTGTCATCGGCCGGGTCAGCTTGAAGGAAGTCACTTGCTTTTGTGAAGTAGAATGCGCCACCAGTTCTTAGAGCCACCTCGGCGTATAAGGTTTCGATCCCCGGGTTGTGAATTGGAGGTGGTTCGAGCCACACGACGTATAGCTTGAGACAAATAGATTGAGAAGATTTCAGTGTTCGACCTTCTCGTCTTAATTTCTCCGTTGTCCCCAAATTTGACACTCAGTGAATGAAAATACGAAGATTTTCTCTATTATGACACATGAAAAGCATACATTACACTTTGATAATGCAATAGATCTTCGTAGTAAAACGAGGGTTCATAATAATTTATATTCTAGTATATAATGCTGATACTTTTGATAACTGTCTTACATCAGAAGCTTGATATGAATGTTCTTGTTCAGCAGTTTGTAACCTAATATTATATTTCAGCATCCTCTTGCATTAATATCTCACTCACTCACTCACTTCCGTCTATAAATGCAAAATCAACTTTTATTTTAAGTGTCACTTATAATCAATTACATTTAACAAAAGGTTAATCCACTCCGTCCAGTGTGACCGATAAAATGTTTTTTTTTCTTTCTCTCCTTAATCTTTCATCCTTGCCATGTTTCGGTCTGAGAGACCGTCTTCAGAAGGATATATCAATACAGGCGGAAACTACTATTACAGTGTGTTTGGTCAATATCAATACATACGTACATCATCAGGCACCTATTAATTGATGGAAATCAGCCCGCTGCATAGACGCACACGTAAGTATATTGCATATCGTCGTATGTAAGTTATGTTTGCATTTATGGACGGAAGTGATCGAGATATTGATATCGCTTGACATGGTCGAGTGTGTAGCATCCCTGGTTCTCACTCGGGAGCCCTTGGTCCAGAGATCAGCAATTGTGACTGAGGTTTTTCGTAGTTTCCCGCAGTCCTTCCAGGTAAATTCCCTGATAGTGTCTCACATTATACCACGACCGCTTCCATTCACATCCTTCCTAATTCATTATTCACTGATTCGATACTGCGTAATCTGAGCCGCTGACGTCGTTAAATTAACAATATACTAGTATCATATTGATTGTCTTTTTATCGTTGTATATGCAGATGCACACCGCCTCTGTGGTCTAGCGGTTAGGGTTCCTGGCTACAGATTCAGAGGTCCGGGTTCGATTCCCGGCGCTACCAGATTTTTTGAGAAGTGGGTCTGGAACGGGGGCCACTCAGCCTCATGAGGATAATTGAAGAGCTATTTCAAGGAAATAGCAGCTCCGGTCTGGAAACCCGAAATTAACGGCCATGGGAATCCGTTGTGTTGACCACGCGACACCCTTTATCCACTGAAGTTGGCACTAACTTCTCCGACAAGCGGCCGTCGTTCGGTCGGTATAGTTCGCTTGCGGACTACAGGCCACGGAGTTCGTTTTTTTTTATATTCAGATGAATGGCTTCAACAAGTGTTATGTTTCTGCCGTCAGGTTCGTGATTGATTAATGAGCGTTCATGTTTTTATAAATAAAATAACTAGAGAGCCACATCTTGGCCGGAATAGTAGCTTTTAAACAATTGCCGAAACCTGGTGTGTATCTAACCTGCTTCAGACATAATAGTAATATTTCGAACTTCTTACCGGAACTTGTTTTTTGATTCCAAACATTACCGCAATTTAAAATTATTGAGTTTGAAACACATTAATCAGCCAACTAACAAAGTTTCTCCATATTCCGTATCCTTCAGCAATTTACAGCTATTCGGGTGGTCAAGAATGTCCTTCCATTTGGGGGAGAACATAAACGTTTATCGTGTTCACTGTGTCCTCACATTGGATCATGTCCTAACCTAGCCCAGTCTGGGTGTACACGCTGAACAATATGGAGGTGCCTAATTTTCTGAAATACGCTTGTTTGAGATATTATATATGTATTTCCTTCCCGAACTCACTTTGCAGCGCTTTGAAGTAAGGTTCTCGGCTGTAATCGCCGCAAGGTCCTCGTCTTCTGCAGCTCTGCCCGTAAAGAGGAGTATGGCACTGTCATAAGGCACTTTCTCTGTCGCCTTCAGAATGGAGTAGAAAGCCACGCCTTTCTTGTTTTCCGAGTATCCCGGTGTTACGGACCTTAGGTCATGAACTGCGTTCTGCAGCTGAGTCTTATCCATGGGTTTCTGCACCGGACCAATACCTGAAACATGAATCAAATTGAAGTATTAGAGACATAGATGCTTACGGTATTATCACAAACGAAATAAAGTGACACGGTTTTTTTTTTATCCACGCGCAGAATCTTGCTGTTGCTGTCGAGTTCTCTAGATAGTCACGTCTCTGCTTTCCAGCAATGTGTTATGCTGCAAGGACATCGTGGCGGCATCGAGTAGTATTTGCAAGTGATACCACAAAGAAGTTTCGCTGCTGTAAAACACTCAGGCTTCCGGTTGGGCCCTCCTATTTTTTATTTCCAAGACATCAGTCACGAAAGTTGCATTAAAGAAGGCTAACTATTAGTTCTTTTATTTTTCATACCTCATAATGGACGTATTATTGCGCCATCATGTTAGTGACTAAATGTGTCACTCAGAGGCCTCCGTAGTCTAGGGGTAACGTTCCCACCTCATGACTCAAGGTACGCGGGTTCAAACCCTGCGGAGGTCGTGGAATGGGGGAAGCATCAAGGTACAGAGGGCTGACCTCGTTGGCTCAACGGGGCTGATAGCACGCACCAGTACCGGCAGGGTATGGGGGCTGGTAGAATATCAAAGGGGGACATACAATAGATCAGCAACTGTTCGCGGTGCATGGGGAAACCCACCCCCTCCAATAATAATAATAATAATAATAAATGTGTCACTCTGGCCGTCCATATGTCCTCTCTCAACGTCTGAACTAACTTACATCGTACTTTTATAGAGACCTCGCTGGTTGTGTAAATTTTAATTTTCTATCAGTAATACCAACACAGTCAAGCGCCATTTAATGTAGAGTCCTGAAATCTAGAATGATGCGCCAACATCGACTGTGCTGGCGAGGACCTGCAGCAATTTACTGGACTGGACTGGCATTATAATAATACATCTTCGAAAAGTAGACAGCTTGGATATTGTCAGATCTCTTAATATAAAATACGACAGTTCTGCAAAATCTGTATGAGGTCATTATCATGATGCTGACGGTGAATATTGGATAGTTGGTGCTGTACGTGTTGAAATCGGGTATGGATCAACAGATTTTGAATGCAGCATATATCGTAAATTAAAAAACTCCATGGCCTATAGTCCGCAAGCGAACTATACTAACCGAGCGACCGCCGCTTGTCGGCGAGGTTAGTGCCAACTTTTGCGGATAGACCGTGTCACGTAGTCAGCACAATGGATCCCCACGGCCGTTAATCTCGGTTTTCTAGGCCGGATCCGCTATTTCCTTGAAATAGGCCCTCAATTATCCTCAGGAGGCTGAGTGGAACCCGTTCTAGACCCAATACTTCTCAGAAAATCTCGTAACGCCGGGAATCGAACCCGGGACCTCTGGATCTATAGCCAGGAACTCTGACCACTAGACCACAGATGCGGTAAATTAAGAATTGCAAATATAACGTCAGTGCAGAACATTGAGGTTACATCTGGCAGACTTAAAGTAGAGGAAAACTGATACTGGGAGTTGTGCAGAGAACTGAATAAGTATTGCAGCTTATTGATTTATAGTTCTGCTGTGCTCATGGTATGGAATAAGCTTTTGAAACAAAGTGGTTTTCACGTGCTTTCCTAGATTCCTTTTTGTGCTGTCTAACGAGACCAAATGGCCGAAATATCGTTTCCGAGGGCAAGTTTCTGACTGGTTAAGTCTCCTTCCTGTTCGGAAGATCCTGTTTTCTGTAATTGGACCTGGATGCCGGCTATACAGAGTTACGCCACGGCAATGTTAGATTTTGTCCATTATATGAAGTAAATTTTGTGTTCACGACGTTTCGGGAGTTGACTGTCTCTAAGTGCTTAACTTTTCTGCTAACCATTATACCAGCCGGGCCACTGAAAATCATCGCGTGACCAAGTTTTGTTGAGTCAAGAATCGGCGATAATGCATGAAACAGAGCTGATGTTTACTCTGAGTAATGAAGCTATAGTTCTGAAATGGAACTGCTTAGGCCTGTTAGTTCGGGAGGTATGCTTGTTAAGTGTAACTTATCTCGACCTAATGAATGACGCCCTCAACAGATAAATTACTTTCGAATCCTTGTATCGGTATTGATTTTTCATCTTCAAACATCCTGTAACTCATGGAGTCTTAGCGACAGACAGGAAGAACTTGTAAAAGACGCCCAATAAGATAACCAACGTGCATCCACCGATCTGTCTCTGAACCCAAGCTGAGAGGAAGTGCGCAAGAACTCTGGCTTAGCGCAGAAGACATGCCATGTAATCACGTACTTCACTTTAAGGATAATTGCTGTGGTGCTGATGAAAATGTGTGCAGAGTCTGTGTACACCTGACGTCACCAGAATCTAAACTGATCAGCCATCTAGTAACAACGAAGTTTTAAGCCTTTTAAATTTCTAATAGCGAGCGGTGTTTTGCCTCTGGTTGTAGTAAGCCCAGAACTCTCCACCCTTCTTAATATGTTCTAAATTAACAAGACAAAACCTGTATTGCGCTCCAGCAGACCTTTTTATATTTCTCATAACCGTTATTTTTATACAGATGTAAGGAAAGTAAAGCTATCCCTGTAAGAGGCGATGGTGGCCTATAGGGTTGTGAGACGCCGACGTTCCCATATTTTCTAGACCAGCCGTGTCTAACATGCGGCCCCCATAGCCACAAAGTGCGGCCCCTCAACTTTTAGAGCTAATTGATATTAAAATCTATATTAAAATTTTAGTAGAAATATTTTTTGTAAAGACAATTTTCCAGCAGACCAGAAGACAAGAAGTCTCACGCAGACATGAATTAGCAGGGTGCAGGAAATTCAATGTTTTGCTATTTCTAACATAATTTCTTGTGTAATCTCTTTTTACATATTGAAAAGCTGTTTGATACTTGTCAAAAATGACATTCTCTTGTTTTTTAAAACTGTAAGATATGTGACTTTAGGTAATTATATTGAAATTATTCCTAAATAATAAATAGAATTAAATTTCCTTGTATCAAAATCTAATGTATATTTCCATTTTGATGTGCGGCCCTGGACTATTATTTAGAGGGCTGAGGTGGCCCTCTGTACAAGTTGAGTTTGACATGGCTGTTCTAGACAATCGGCTCACAGATAGCGGTGAGGTTGTCAACCTTACGCGCCGTACGCCCGTTACCCCCAGGTCTTCTCAGCTTTTAACAGAAATGAGTACAAAGCCTGCTACATGGATAACTTTATCTACTCGGATGTATTATATGAATTCAGTTCAGGTTTTAGTGCATGTGGAGGCAAGAGTTAGAACCGTTGGTTCTAACTCACCCACACCACCGGTTACGTTAATGGTGCGGTAATTCTGTAGACTTACATTCGGGTGGTGCTCAATTCAGATCTCTTTTGAGATGGATGAGATCATTTTCTTAAGCCACGCCCTGTTCCTTGTAAATCATTTCAATTCATTCGGTACCGTAGTTTGTTGAGGCACTATGTTACAAGCCCGAAGGTCGCGGAATCGAATCCCGATGAAGTGGATATTTTCAATGGACCTAATCCTTCCAGCCGTACTATGGCCCTGGGGTCGACTCAGCCTCTACCAGAAATGAGTACCAGGAATATTCCTAGGGATAAAGGGTGGCTGGCGCGTAAGGCTGACAACCTCACCGCCATCTGTGAACCGATTGTCTAGAAAATGTGGGAGCCTTGTTGTCTCACAACCCTATGTGTCTCCACTGCGTGTTACAAGGGTGCCTTTACTTTTTTGTTAACTAGTCGCCCCACTGTTCGTTGCTGTATAATTTGTGTTTCCGAACGCATCATAAAATAAGCCGCAGAAATATAAAATGCGTCAAGTGTAGTTTTATATGGAGTGCTGTATGTGGAGGCCGTGTCTTCCGTGACGTAATATCAGCGCCTGTACCACAGGACAGATTTTATTCAAATTCGATATGGAAGACTTACTGAAAGCTGGTCGAAAAATCCCGATTTTCACCCATATGAATCCACAGTAAAGCTTGGTTTAAATTATGGCCGCAAGTGGACTTTTCCGTGTTTCCCATAAAAAACAAAAACTCCGTGGTTTTAGTCCGCAAGCGAACTATACCGACCGAGCGACCGTCGTTTGTCGGCGATGTTGGTGCCATCTTTAGCAGACAGAGGGTTAGTCGATTCCGATGTTTAGCCTATCGATAAAGCCCTAATTTATATAAAACCATACATGTCATTCATCATATATGCCATCAACCGATATATTTTTCTGAAATTCTGTGTGGGAGACTTTGAGAGATTTGATTTTTATTCCATTTTTATGTTAGCATAATAAGCGTCAGAAATCATCGATGTTAATGTTGTGTGCTACGTTATGGAGTACGCCCTTTCTAAGCTTGTTTCCTTCGGCGGAATCTAACGACGGTCTGTATAATGGAAATGTTCTGAAGACCGGAAAGTGAAATCGCGTCATATTGTGACGGATATTGCAGACTTATTACAAAGATAGCGTCACCCGGCATTACCCAGAACACAGGGATTCCGAAAAGGGCATGATGTCACAGGGGTTTAAGTCCATTTATTAGGCAATGAAGCAGTCACGGCTGGTAAGAGATTTTAGCTGAGGAAGTTGCAGGCCTATAGCTTCGAATGAAGTGTGGGAAGAATCAAGAAAAAGGGGGAGACAGTATATTTCACATCTAGTATTAATAATTCCACCGAACAGAGCTCTTTGGAAGCTGATAGTCGCTCAGCTGGTCGAGATGTTTCCCTCATTCTGAGGAACGACGACTCATTGCTGTGTTCATAAGAGCCCTTCACTGGACCCTGCCCTGAGCCAGTTGAATCCAGTGTACGCCCTCGCATCCTAAAATCCTTCCACGCCTATGGCTTCCATTTGGACTTTTCATTTAGAATTTCCTAACTAGCATTTCGCACACCCATTTCATCTGTCCCAGTGCATGCCGCGTGTGCTGCTCTTGTCAGCCTCGCTGATTTGATCACGTTTGTGACAATCTGAGAAAAGTAAAAATTGTGGGTCGATCACAGTGGCTGCGCGGTCTAATGCTTGAAATATTTTCGCC